CGAGGGACCCTGTTGAGTGCTCCATCAAGCCTCCTGCGTCTCAGCCACTGTCCCTGCCTGTCAGGCTCCAGTTCATTGCCATCTGTCTGGTCCACATTAAGAAAACCTCCAATTTGCGATTTTTTGCTAAGTCGGCTAGATTTACAACTGATAACCGAGAAGTTTCCACGTCCAACGCTGCTAATGGCGAACTCTTTTCCACTCATAATGTGGTGGAGAAGATTCTTCATTTCAAAAGGGGAAAGATTCAAGAGATGTTCTGATGCCTCTTCACCAGTACAGATCAACGTTCTGGAGAGCTCTGTAGCCATCACCTGAATAATCAAACCAACTCTGAGCCTCAGCATCTCGTGGAAGAGCTGGGGTTCAGTCCTTATGAACATCGCCAGATAAACCAACAACTCCTGAGTCAACATCGCTGTACTTTCGTCGTCTCCGTATGCCAAATGGATCAGGGATCGCAGCTCGTTCTCTGGGAGAGGAGCTATGATTGTGTGCTCGTTAGCAGGAGGCATCCCCACAGTCACTTGCTTCTGGCGGACTAACAGATCAGTCACTGCTTTTGCTAGATCCTCCACTCGTTTCCCCAGCATTCCCGCCGTATGACGAACTATTCCCCACATTTTTTGTTGACATGCCCTCTCATACAGTGACTTCAGCAGGTCTTTCACCAAAACTGGATGACCGTTCTCTACCATTCCTGTTTGAAATTGCAAGCCCTGAGAATCGACCTGGAAGAAGATTTTTTATTGCACCTCCGGGAAGTTTTGCGAGCTAGGCGATAGGTACATACCAGCTTCTAGTAGTGGGGGGTTGCATTGGATTTAAGATTTAATCATCTATTAATTTTCGGTTGATGAAGAGAATTCGAATAGGAGAGTCGAAGTAAATTTCAGATAGTTTCACTAGTTGATTGTCTTTTTTGTAGCAAAACATTGATGAATTTTTAATAATTCGTCAAAAATAATTTTATCATTTGAATTGAAAATGACATTAACGAAAAAATCAATTGAAAGATATTACTAAAAATTCTAAGCGAAATTTGAAGATAAATTTTTATGTAAATTTTCAATGTAGGGTAATGATGAGAAATACATATTCATGTGGAAAAATGGAAGTTCTGCGATGACAATTAGTGTTACCAGATATTGTAGAATGTCGCCTTGCTCCTCGAGGCTCTCAGTTTCTCTAAGCATGGCCATGAGCTCTTCAACTTCAGTATCAGCATACTGACCTTCCGAGGCGTTTCTATTTCTGAGTGGCTTGGGGGACGTCTTCCAGGGCATAATTTCCTCGGTTGGTGAAGGAGTGCGGTTGGCCTGTGTACTTGGAGTTACGGGTAACAACGCACTCGTGTCAGTCACTTCTATAAAGGGGCTAGTGGCCAGTACAACTGAGGGTCTTCGATCCTCCCCTGCCATTCCCAAGATTTCAGCTAAAAAATGATCTCATTGAAATCCCAAACTTTCAGTTCTCCTCCCGATAATTAAGGTGATAAGATTATTTTATTAATTTGAATGATTAAATTCAGTAGTGAAAAGCTGATTAATGTTCATTTTATGAATTATTCCATGAAGGACTTACGTTCTCGCTGGATAGTAGGGACTGCAGCTGCATGTACATGACAAATGGGTTAGTTATCCGGATTATTCATTGGCTAATTTCCAGGGAACATGCAATTATTTCAACTGAAATGATATACAAATCATGCGGCCGAATTGACCAAGACTTACGCTCAACTGCTATGGATCTGGTTTTTTTAATTGCTCCCTTCACAGACATCCTCCGACGCAGATTTTTCCCTGTTCGGACTCCCGGACCTCTCAGAAGACCCGCTCTATGTGGTAAGGCACGCATCAAGTGTTCCTCTAGGTATTGGTGAACCTGAAATCAAATATTAATCTGTTAATAAAAATACAATGGACTTATACTAACGCCACAATTTAAAGAGCAGCATTTTTGTGTAAACTCATCTCTATCGAATATTTAGGAGAAATTCCTGATGGACTGGACTCACCTGAGGATTGAGCTTGTCTGGACGTCCATCTTCAGAGCTTCCCAAAAAACTGAGATTCGTAATGCAAGAGGTGCTGAGAAAATCATTCATATTCCCCAGTGAAACTCGAGTTCCATTGATATATCCACTCTTGAGTTTTTTCATAGTGGTGATCATGGCCAGTGGGATTTTCCCCTGATCTATAACCGATAGAGTAAATTTGAGAGTGAAAAAAATTCAGTAACCAAGAGGTAAGGAGTGACAAAGCGACTTATTCCCTAGCTGAGTTTTTGAGGAATATCTCTGAATCCAAGAGAGATACCGATTTTTTTCACGATCTTTTTTGCAGAGCAGAGTGAGAGCTACAAAATAGACATTTGTACGAATCTCGATATCTCTTTCACATTCCGGGGTACCCCTCGAAGACTTGTCTTTTAGTTAAATCGATTTGTTGCCCTTTGACTCTTCACTAGGGGATTAATGAATTGTCAGGAGTTAATGAATTGAAAAACGCAGAGGGAAGCGTCAGAGAAGTTCAAACATTAGTGTATCAGCTTTCTGCCAGAGATCAATTCTCTTTTCGGCATACCTAGGTGATTATGAGTAGCAACGAGTGCCACAGTTGGTCGCCCAAGCATTTGCTTCCAGTTGATGCCGAGGAAGGCCAGATTGGTGGTAAACGTATCAGCGAGGAAGGCAGCGTCGTTCGTCACGTAGAACTCATCGGCGTCAAAGTTCTATCATGCAGATAAAAATAACGCACACACACGACTAAATACGCTAGACAACATTTCTCGAAACTCATCATCTTGATTGCTATCAATTGAGTATTAATTGAGGTAAACGATCCTAAGCACGTTTATCTAAGGTGAGTACAAAATTAGTCTACAATTTGTATCCAAATAATTGTGAAAACGCCGTGTTTTCAAGTAAATCTCAGAATTAAAAACCCTTGGAATTAAAATGTAATTGTATTAATCATGATAATTACCATTTTTTAATAAATGATCATCCATAAACGTGGGAAATTCCATGTCCCTACACCCAGAAAAATTATTTATTTGAATCAAATGAAAAAGTTGAGTAGAAAAAAATTATTAACTTTGACGACTTCCATTTATATTAATTAAATATTATTTATTGTTAATGAATATTCATTGATTGATAATGAATTCTATATTAATAATTAATAAGCAGTGTTCTTACATTAAGAAAATTATTTATTTGATTAATGAAATCCTTCTTGTTGACGTACGTGAAAAATTTCACATCAAGACTCTCATTTGATTGAAATACACTATTTTTCTGGATGTACACTCGTTCCAATTTTCATCTCGTAACTTGAAAGATTTGGAGAAATTACAGCTCAACTTACAAATCATTGACATCTGAACGAGCACAGGATCAGGGACGAGTATAGGTAGGTACATTTAAATTATCAGTCCGTTTGAAGAACTTCACGTGCAAGCGAATGAGTGTTATCATCATCAAAATTGAGAAAAGGCCAAACTTTGGATACAGATCGAAATGTTAATGTTTCTGTTATTAAGTGGCTCGGCAGATTAAAGATAAACCCAGGGGAATAATTAAATGCAATCTTAAGAATTTACCTAGATGAATGTTCTTGAGTGGCATGACCACGAGAGGACGACCTAACATATTCTGCCAGCTAGACTTCAAGAAATTAATTTCACCTTTGAATATGTCGATCATTAGCTCGTAATCCGATGCGATGTAGAAGCGAGTCATATCTGTTAACTAATAGCAAGGGGCGAATTTGGTTTTTTTATAATACAGTTGAAAATAAACTAGAGAATAATAACGTTTGCCATTGACGATGTGAGTTTCGATTACAATAATAATTCTTATGATTTTTACAGGTTTACCTGTGGTGTGAAGGCAAATATTCGGTCGTGGAGGGAGTACAGTTTACTTGTGCTCAGAATTCCAACATCTCGAGATTTTCTACCAGATAAACCGAGTTTTTTGTTTCGTCCTGGACAGAAAGTAAATTAATGAGGAATCATTGCATTTGCAGCAAATCAAAAATTGATTAACAAATTGAAATTAAAATTTACACAATTAACAATTGACAAACGAAAAAAAAATCTCAATCAGTCTCGAAGTTGGAATAATTATTTACCTAAATATGTATACAAATGACTCAAGACTTTAGCCGGCTGAACTTCGATAGGCGCAACTTCAGCGATAGTTTGGACATGTATATCATGTTGTGCGATTTTTTCTCTTATCTCTGCATCTTCAGCAAGAATAACTACCTGAAAATGAAACGAAACAGTGAGTTTAAACTTATAAAAAATGGAATAATATGAAATCTCTGGAATTGATGTCTCTGCAGAAGCCGCTCACCTGTACAACTACATCAGGTTTCTTCTCGCTGCAGAGTCTCCTATTGAGTGGATCAAGCTCCCCAACAGCCAGGAATCCCTCCTGCAGAAGTTTGCCCAATATATAGAGCGATTGCGCCCACTTGAAAGGGCACCTACCCAAAGCCTCCCTTGGTTGACTGCCCGGATCTGCGTACTCCTGTGCGACATTATCCTGAGCAACAGCATAAAGCTCTGGTACAAGCTTCATACCATCTTCTCCTTTAATCATGATATCCTCAAGAGCCTGGGTGTACTCATCAACGAGCTCTTTATTTCCTTGAAAGCAGTAATCCAGAATAAGATAACAAAAGAATAATGGCCACTCGCACTCGATATTCTCGAACATCCTGAGCTCCCAGGGCTCATAATAAAGTCTATTGGGATCCTCCCTAGGTGTCCTGTATCCATCCCTGAGAAATCTCTTGCAGCCATATTTCCCCTGGAGTTTTTTCGTGATGGCGTCCCTGGTGAGTTGAATAAGATTGGGCTCATCAACAGCGAAAGCGGGAAAACTGATAATAGAGAGGAGTCCGCTGTCAAGTTCCTTGGAGTTGGATTCCCTGGGCAGCATAGACTGGAGAACAGCCTGGCACTTCTGTGCCTCATCAGCGAGAACATGAATGACAGATGTGGGTCCACCACGAGCTCCAAAGAGATCCAATTCATTCATAGCTTCCAAAGCAGCCTTCGCCATGCCAATGCTGCTGGCATTGAGCTCAGGTAGGCCATGATTGGTCTTGTCCCCTCTCTCCCAGACTCCATAATCTGGTGTGCAGTAAGCAGACTCAATGTAGAACACGAGGTTCTGGATGAAGGCGACTTCATCCAGGTTGAAGACAATCTGTAAACCAGAGGCTGTCATCTGTGCCAGCACCAGGAGATAAAGGGAGACAGCGTCGATCTGCAAGTGACCCCACTCGTTGTCCCCGACGACAGATTGTCCAGTGACTGAGCTATACTTGGCGTGCAAGGCATCCAGAGGATTCTGCGTTATCTTGAACTTCTCTACCTTGTCTTTCTGCTGCATCATCGCCATCAGAAGACCCCTCATCAGCTTGACACAACTCTGTTCCAGCTCGTACGTCTTCGCTCTGTCTTCGTCAACATCAGCGATCTTCTTGTATGCCATGGACAGACCCCAGACCGCCAGGATGCAGTAGATATTGTCTCTGATCCAGGCATGATCGATGTCATTCGTCGCTGGGAACAATCCTGTCACCGGATTCTGGTAATTCATTATTATCTTTTGGACCACTCGCTGGTAGTAGTCCAGTTGGACCCCTGAGTTGCTTCTACTCCTCATTTTTACCGAGCTGTACGCCACGATTTTCACAATGTTATTTTTGGGGAATCGTTCACAGGAGGTTAGATTCACCTGTCGAGTCGACAATTACGATTGTCACAGAACAGCTGAGAATATTTATGTTGAACACTCGCGAGACTTTTGGTGATACATTTTTAATTCACTGACGTCTCAGCTATCGCTCTATTTAGACCATTTTCATTCACTATTACATGCGCAATGTGAAACGAATGTCAAATGAATTACATATTTACACGTTTTTTATCACGTGACGCGAAGAATTTGAAAATAAAAAATTCAGTCGATTGTTGGTAAAGAAGAGAATCAAAGGTTAGAATAAGAAGCTGCAGTGACTGACAAAAATTCATAATTTATGGGTGAGGGAATGTTTTTTTGGAGGTTATTAATTATGATGTAATTAGCTCACGAAATGGTGAAATATTTTTGTTTTTACGTCGGCGAATTGCAAATTGATTTTGCCGCGCAAAGCGCATAGTTGCATGAGGAATCACAAGATGACGGCAATGAGTACTCGCGAGTGCAATCGAATATTTGGAATTTGTGCAGAAGATAATTACATTGATTTCGTGGAAAAAATAGTGCTGGGAAACGGAGAAACAAAGAATAGAATTGAATTTCAATCTTAAGGTTGCGGGTAGAATCGGGAATCGTCAAGGTTGAACATCCGATTGTCTTTGATTCGCAATGTTTAGTTACATACAAGTGCAAACAAGAGTGTGCAAAGAATTCCTTTTTATGGGTATCCCCATAAAAATCCCCACAAAATTTCGTACAATACGTGCAAATAAATTAGTTTCAAATGAGTGTGATTATGGGCTTTGTCTTCTGCTAGGTTTGTAACCCTCACAGTTGTTCCAAGTACTTTTTTT